GTGTTTGCTTGGGTGTGTTTGTTTGTGTTGTTTGGAGTGTGTTGTTTGTGTGTGTGTGTTTGGCAGGTGTGTTGTTTGTGTGTGTTTGGCGGTTATTGTTGTTTGTGTGTGTGTTTGGCAGGTGTGTTTGTTTGTGTGTGTCTTTGTGTGTGTTTGTTTTGTGTGTCTTTGAGTTTGTTGTTTGTGTGTGTTTGCAGGTGTGGTTGTTTTGTGTGTGTTTGGCAGGTGTGTGTTGTTTGTGTGTGTTTGGTGCAGGTGTGTTGTTTGAGTGTGTTTGGTGTGTTTGTTCAGGTGTGTGTGGTTTCAGGTGTGTTGTTTGTGTGTGTTTGGCAGGGTGTGTTGTCTGGGTATGTGTGTTTCACAGGTGTGTTGTTTGTGTGTGTTTGGCAGGTGTGTTGTTTGTGTGTTTGGCAGGTGTGTTTTGTGTGTGTGTGTTTGGCAGGTGTGTGTTGTTTGTGTGGTTTACAGGTGTGTTGTTCAGGTGTGTGTGTTTGCTAGGTGTGTTGTTTGTGTGGTTTGGCAGGTGTGTTGTCTGTGTGTGTGTGTGTTTGGCAGGTGGTTGTTCGGTGTGTGTCTGGTTATAAGTGTGTTGTCTGTGCTGGCTAGGTGTGTTGTCTGTGTCTATGTGTTTGTGTGTGTTCTGTGTGGTTGGTGTGTCTACAGGTGTGTTGTTTGTGTCTTGGCAGGTGTTGTTTGTGTGTGGTATGTGTGCGTGTGTGTTTGCAGTGTGTTTATGTAGGTGTGTGTGGCTATGTGTGTTGTCTGTGTGTATGTGGCTCAGGTGTGTGTTTGTGTGTGTGGGTCATTAAGTGTGTTGTTTGTGTGTGTCAGGGTGTTGTTTAGGTAAGTGTGTTGTTTATGTGTGTGTTCAGGTGGGTTTTTGTGTGTATTGTGTGGGTTCATTTGGCAGGTTGTTCGGTGTGTGTTTAGAAGGCGTGTTGTTTCAGGTGTGTTTGGCAGGTGTGTTTGTTTGTGTGTGCGTGTTTGGGTTGTTTGTGTGTGTGTGTTTACAGGTGTGTTGTTTGGTGTGTGTTTGGCAGGTGTGTTGTTTGTGTGGGTTCATGTGTGTTGTTCAGTGTTTGTTCGTGTGGCAGTTGTTCAGTGCTGTGTTTGGCAGGTGTGTTGTTTGTGTGTGTGTGTTTCATGTGTGTTCATGTGTGTGTGTGTTTGCAGGTGTGTTGTTTCTGGTGTGTGTTTGGCAGGTGTGTTGTTTGTGTGTGTTTTTTGCTCATATATGTGTTGTTTGTGTGTGTGTGTTCAGGTGTGTGTTGTTTAGTGTGTGTGTTTGCAGGTGTGTTGTTTTGTGTGTGTGTTCTTAAGTGTGTTTGTTCGTGTGTGTGTTTATGTGTGTTGTTCAGGTGTTTGTTCTTTGTTTGCTATGGTGTGTTGTTCAGTGTGTGTGTTCATGTGTGTGTGTTTGTCAGGCATGTGTGGTTTGTGTGTTGTGTGTGTGCTCAGGTGTCATTCGTGTGTGTGGCTTGCAGGTGTGTTGTCTAGTGTGTGTCTACAGGTGTGTTGTTGTTTGTGTGTGTGTGTTTGGCAGGTGTGTTGTTTGTGTGTTTGTTTGCAGGTGTGTTGTTTGTGTGTGTGTTTAAGGTGGGTGTGTTGTTTGTGTGTGTGTTTGGCAGGTGTGTTGTTTGTGTGTTTGGCAGGTGTGTTGTTTGTGTGTGTGTTTGGCAGGTGTGTTGTTTAGGTGGGTGTTTGCAGGTGTGTTGTTTGTGTGTGTGTTTGGCAGGTGTGTTTGTTTGTGTGTGTGTGTTTGCAGGTGTGTTGTTTGGTGTGTGTGTTTGCAGGTGTGTTGTTTGGTGTGTTTGGCAGGTGGTTGTTTGTGTGTGTGTGGTTTGGCAGGTGTGTTGTTTGTGTGTTTGGGTGTTGCTTGTGTGTGTGTTTGGCAGGTGTGTTGTTTGTGTGTGTGTGTTTGGCAGGTGTGTTGTTTGTGTGTGTGTGTTTGTGGGTGTGTTGTTTGTATGTGTGTGTTTTGGCAGGTGTGTTGTTTGTGTGTGTGTGTTTGGCAGGTGTGTTGTTGTGTGTGTGTGTTTGGCAGGTGTTGTTTGTGTGTGTGTGTTTGGCAGGTGTGTTGTTTGTGTGTGTGTGTGTTTGCTTGGTGTGTTGTTTGTGTGTTTGGGGTGTGTTGCTTGTGTGTGTTTGGCAGGTGTGTTGTTGTGTGTGTGTGTTTGGCAGGTGTGTTGTTGTGTGTGTGTGTTTGGCAGGTGTGTGTTGTTGTGTGTGTTGTGTTTGGCAGGTGTGTTGTTTGTGTGTGTGTTTGTGCAGGTGTGTTGTTTTATGTGTGTGTTTGGCAGGTGTGTTGTTGTGTGTGTGTGTTTGTTGAGTGTGTTTGTTTGTGTGTGTGTGTTTGGAGGTGTGTTGTTTGTGTTTGTGTTTGGCAGGTGTGTTGTTTGTGTGTGTGTGTGTTGTTTGCTGGGTGTGTTGTTTGTGTGTGTGTTTGGGTGTGTTGTTGTGTTTGGCAGGTGTGTTGTTTGTGTGTGTGTGTTTGGCAGGTGTGTTGTTTGTGTGTTTGGCAGTGTGTTGTTTGTGTGTGTGTGTTTGGCAGGTGTGTTTGTTTGTGTGTGTGTGTTTTGGCAGGTGTGTTGTTTGTGTGTTTGGCAGGTGTGTTGTTTGTGTCTTTGGCAGGTGTGTTGTTTTGTGTGTTTGTTTGGGTGTGTTGTTTGTGTGTGTGTGTTTGGCAGGTGTGTTGTTTTGTGTGTGTGTGTTTGGGTGTGTTGTGTGTGTCTTTGCTTGGAGTGTGTTGTTTGTGTGTGTGTGTTTGGCAGGTGTGTTTGTTTGTGTGTGTGTTTGGCAGGTGTGTTGTGTGTGTGTTTGGCAGGTGTGTTGTTTGTGTGTGTGTGTTTGGCAGGTGTGTTGTTTGTGTGTGTTTGGCAGGTGTGTTGTGTGTGTGTGTGTTTGGCAGGTGTGTTGTGTGTGTGTTTGGCAGTGTGTTGTTTGTGTGTGTGTTGGCAGGTGTGTTGTTTGTGTGTGTGTTTGGCAGTGTGTGTGTGTGTGTTTGGCAGGTGTGTTGTTTGTGTGTGTGTTTGGCAGGTGTGTTGTTTGTGTGTGTGTTTGTTGGGTGTGTTGTTTGTGTGTGTGTGTTTGGCAGGTGTGTTGTTGTGTGTGTGTGTTTGCTTGGGTGTGTTTGTTTGTGTGTGTGTGTTTGGCAGGTGTGTTGTTTGTGTGTGTGTGTTTGGCAGGTGTGTTGTTTGTATGTGTGTGTTTGGCAGGTGTGTGTTGTTGTGTGTGTGTGTGTTTGGCAGGTGTGTTGTTTGTGTGTGTGTGTTTTGGCAGTGTGTTGTTGTTGTGTGTGTGTGTTTGGCAGGTGTGTTGTTTGTGTGTGTGTGTGTTTGCTGGGTGTGTTGTTTGTGTGTTTGTGTTTGGCAGGTGTGTTGTTTGTGTGTGTGTGTTGTTGCATGTTGTTTGTGTGTTTGGCAGGTGTGTTGTGTGTTTGGCAGGTGTGTTGTTGTGTGTTTGGTGTGTGTTGTTTGTGTGTTTTGCAGGTGTGTTTGTTTGTGTGTTTGGCAGGTGTGTTGTTTGTGTGTGTGTTTTGGCAGGTGTGTTGTTTGTGTGTGTGTGTTTGGCAGGTGTGTTGTGTGTGTGTGTTTGGCAGGTGTGTTGTGTGTGTGTTTGGCAGGTGTGTTGTTTGTGTGTGTGTGTTTGGCAGGTGTGTTGTTTGTGTGTGTGTTTGGCAGGTGTGTTGTGTGTGTGTTTGGCAGGTGTGTTGTTTGTGTGTTTGAGGTGTGTTGTTTGTGTGTTTGTAGGTGTGTTGTTTGTGTGTGTGTGTGTTTGGCAGGTGTGTTGTTTGTGTGTGTTTGGCAGGTGTGTTGTGTGTGTGTGTTTGTGGGTGTGTTGTGTGTGCTTTGGCGGTGTTGTTTGTGTGTGTGTGTTTGCTTGGTGTTGTTTGTGTGTGTGTTTGGCAGGTGTGTTGTGTGTGTTTTGGCAGATGTGTTGTTTGTGTGTGTGTTTGGCAGGTGTGTTGTTTGTGTGTGTGTTTGGGTGTGTTGTTTGTGTGTGTGTTTGGCAGGTGTGTTGTTTGTGTGTGTTTGGCAGGTGTGTTGTTTGTGTGTGTGTGTTTGGCAGGTGTGTTGTTTGTGTGTGTGTTTTGGCAGGTGTGTTGTGTGTGTGTTTGGCAGGTGTGTTGTTTGTGTGTGTGTTTGGCAGGTGTGTTGTTTGTGTGTGTTTTGTAGTGTGTTGTTTGTGTGTGTGTGTTTGGGGTGTGTTGTTTGTGTGTGATGAAACTGTGGTTGTCCTCCTTCTCCTCCACCCACCTTTATCTTCCTTCCTCCTCTCCCCATCCCTCACCTCCTCCTTTCCATCCCCTCTTCCTCCTTCCTCCACCCACCTCTCCCCATATTCCCCTTCCCTTCCCTCCTTCTCTCCCAACCGCCTTCCCTTCCATCTCTCCCTCACCACCCCTCTCCTTCCCTCTCTCTCCTTACCTACCCCCTCCATCCCTCCTCTCACAACTATCTCCCTCTCTCCCCTCCCCCCAAATAAAAACAGGGTACAAAATATCAGAAACAGTGAGGTGAAAAAAAATGTATTTGGAAGGATAGTTTATTTAGGGAGAGTGTGAGAGTCCCCCTACCAGCTACACGCTCTCACTCTCACTTATTTACTCTCTCTCTCTCTCTCTCTCTCTCTCTCTCTCTCTCTCTCTCTCTCTCTCTCTCTCTCTCTCTCTCTCTCTCTCTCTCTCTCTCTCTTTGTCATATGTGTGTATACTGTATTTATATATATATTGCGCCATTTATCTGTCTGTCTGTCTGTGTGTGTGTGTGTTGTGTGTGTGTGTGTGTGTGTGTGTGTGTGTGTGTGTGTGTGTGTGTGTGTGGAGGAGAGGAACACTGATAGGCAATCATAAATACAACAAATCCCTAACAGAGAGAGAGAGAGAGCATTTCTCTCTCTCTCTCTCTCTCTCTCTCTCTCTCTCTCTCACACAGGGGAGGAACAGGTCAGGGTGTTGCCCTTCTCTTCTCAGGTAATTTAAATATTTAAACGGACGGTGACTAATAATTCCCTCCTAACACCCACAATACTTCATCTTTTGAGTGTGAACCTTTGAGTGTGAACCTTTGAGTGTGAACCTTTGAGTGTGAACCTATGAGTGTGAACCTTTGAGTGTGAACCTTTGAGTGTGAACCTTTGAGTGTGAACCTTTGAGTGTGAACCTTTGAGTGTGAACCTATGAGTGTGAACCTTTGAGTGTGAACCTTTGAGTGTGAACCTTTGAGTGTGAACCTTTGGTGTGAACCTTGAGGTGAACCTTGGTGAAGAGTGTGAACCTTGGTGTGACGTGTGAACGAGGATTTGGGAACTGGTGAACCTGAGGTAACTATAGTGTGAACCTTTGAGGTGCCTTGAGTGTGAACCTTTGAGTGTGAACCTTTGAGTGTGAACCTTTGAGTGTGAACCATTGTTGTATATGTTTCTGTTATTGCTAGAGTGTGTGTATGTGTGTGTGTGTGTGTGTGTGTGTGTGTGTGTGTGTGTGTGTGTGTGGTGTGTGTGTGTGTGTGTGTGTGTGTGTGTGTGTGTGTCTAGTTTAATATATATACAAACACACTTTTTGTCTGTCCGTTCTGTCTACACACACACACACACACACACACACACACACACACACACACACACACACACACACACACACACACACACACACACACACACACACACCCCACAGTATGACAAAAGACCTTGCCCTGGTCCCGTGTGAACTCATTGGCCATGCAGGCAGCCCCATAAAATAAAGGTTAAAAAAAAACACGAGAGAGGTGTTGGAACTGTTGGTCTTTGTGTGGGTGTTTTTATGCTGTGTGACACCCTCTATACTTAGCAACACCGTGTTAGTGGTTGGAGTGTGTTTGTGGGTGTTTGGATATTTCTCTCTCTCTCTCTCTCTCTCTCTCTCTCTCTCTCTCTCTCTCTCTCTCTCTCTCTCTCTCTCACACACACAGACCACACCCTTCCCCTCCTTCACTCCTTGCCAACCCTTTCCCTTCCGTACTCTTACCTTCATCCCCCCTCTCTCTTATCACCGTCTCTCCCTCTTCCTCTTTCTCTCCATCCTTCCTTCTTAATACCCTCCCTCACCTTCACCAACACACAATCTTCCTTCTCCACCCACACCTCATCTACCCCTTCACCACCACCACTACCCTCCCCTTCACCACTACCCCCTTCCTCCTCACCCCTTCCTCCCCCCCATCCCGTCAACATGAATATTAATCACACCAGCTAAAGTTACCATCCCCGGTTTCCGACATTTTTCTGGCATTAGTTATGTTGTGCAGGTGAAGGTCAGGGGTCAGGTGAAGGTCAGGAGGCCTAGGTGAAGGTCCAGGGGAGTGAAGGTCAGGAGGCTAGGTGAAGGTCAGGGGGGCAGGTGAAGGTGGTCCAGGAGGCAGGTGAAGGTCCATGGGGGGGGGGGCGATTAAGGTACAGGGGTGCAGGTGAAGGTACAGGTGGCTCCAGTGAAGGAGGTTCAGGGGGGGGAGGGGGCGTAAGAGGGTTCCTGAGACCTTCATATCGTAGGATTAGTGGCATCTGATCCTGAGTCCTACACCCAAGTGGGATTCGAAGTCGTGGGTTCGGATTTTTAAAGGATCGAAGCCTCTCTATTTTTAGAGCGGTGAAAATGTGGAGAGAGAGAGTAAAGTATTGAGTACGTGAGATACAAGAGAGATAAAACGTAAAAACAAGTAGGAAGTAAATAAAGTAAGATAAGATGAAATACTAAGTAAAAGGAAGAAAAATAACCAAAGTAAGAAATAAATAAAGCAAAAGAGTAAAGCATAATAACGTCACGTGACCAAAAAGCAAAAAAAAAAAAGCAAATCTTGAGACGTTTCTTGAAGCTGAAAATGTGAAGAAAAATATTTAAGAAACGTTTGAGAGCCAGACCTGATATGTTGACACAGTGCCTGGTGAGAGTGAGTGGGAGAGTGAGTGTGAGGAAGAGAGGGAGTGGGAGGTAGAGAGAGGGAGTGGGAGGTAGAGAGAGGGAGTGGGAGGTAGAGAGAGGGAGTGGGAGGTAGAGAGAGGGAGTGGGAGGTAGAGAGAGGGAGTGGGAGGTGGGGAGAGAGGGAGGGAGGTGAGAGGAGGGGAGGGGAGGTGTAGAGAGAGGGAGGGGAGGTGGGAGAGAGGGAGGGAGGTAGAGAGAGGGGAGTGGAGGTAGAGAGAGGAGGGAGGTAGAGAGGGGGAGAGGAGGTAGAGAAAGGAGGGAGGGGAGGTAGAGAGAGGAGGGGAGGAAGAGAGAGGGAGTAAGGTAGAGAGAGGGAGGGAGGAAGAGAGAGGAGGGGAGGTAGAGAGAGGGAGTGGAGGAAGAGGAGTGGGCTTTGAGAAAGAGGAGAAGGGATGGGAGGAAGAGAGAGGGGATTGGGAGGAAGAGAGTGGGAGTGGGAGGTAGAGAGAGGGATGGGAGGAAAGTGAGTGTGTGGGATAGAGGAAGAGGAAGGAAGAGAGAGGGATTGGGAGGAAAGTGAGTGGGTGAGAGGAAGAGGGAAGAAAGTTCGTGAGAGTGAGGGAGAGGGAGAGTCTGAGTGGGAGAGAGGTAGAGGAAGGGGGGTTGGGTTAAAGGGAGTGGGGGAAGGAGAGTCGAGAGAGAATAAGAGAGAAAATGAAAAGATAGTGAGAGAGAGAGGAAGACAGAGAAGAGAGAGTAAAAGAGTAGGAGAAAGAAAACAAGAGACAGTGAATGAAAAAAAATGAAAGAAAATTTAGAGAGACATCGAGAGAATGAGAGATAATTTAGAGATGGCTGAGATGTAAACAAGAAGCAGCTGATCGTTGTTGTGGTGGAGGGGGTGACGTGGGTGTGACGTCACTTTGCACACGATAGCTGACAACGTCGTGTGATTGGTTGGAAGGATCTCGTGACGTAACAAAGACAACTGACAACGTCGTGTGATTGGTTGGAAGGATCTCGTGACGTAACAAAGACAACTGACAACGTCGTGTGATTGGTTGGAAGGATCTCGTGACGTAACGAAGACAACTGACAACGTCGTGTGATTGGTTGGTAAGAACTCATGACGTAACAAAGACCGATAATGTCATTGTGGATCGTCAAACTCCGGATTTTAATTGGACAAGACATTTTGTATTTGGCTACTTAAAGCGACTTAATAGGGGGAAAAATGTGGTTAAGTTTGTTGTGTTTCATTAAAATGTTGTTTACTGTCATAACTAAAACTAAAAATTAAATAAATAAAAATAAAATATATACAAATTCCATAACATCATTATATTTTAGAAGTGAAAATTATGAGAAAAATGAACCTAGAAATTAGTGATATTTTAGATTTTGATGAATTTGACTCGATTTAGATAGACTTTAGTTAATATAAAGAACTGATTTTAGATTTAGAACGTATATGATTTAGATAATTAAAAAAGGGTCTTATATATAAATAGATAAATATATGAAACTTTTTGTTGAATTTGTATAATATAAACAAGAGTCTGATATACCAAAATATATATAGAGATAACTTTTAATATAGGTTTATAGAATTTAGTTAATATAAGGGTTACTGTCATATATCAGTCATTATCATAGAGGTTAGATATAGGAGACAGATATAGAGGGTGTAAGGGATCATGACGTGACTTGGACAGAAATTAGACAGACGCCATGATGGTGATTTAGACGGGGCTACAAGTGGTTATCATGGCTGGTGTTGTAGTGTCTGTCTGTCTGTCTGTGTGTTCTCCTGTTGCTTAGTTAGTCTGCCCAATAGTCAGTTCTGTCTGCTGTCTCCTTCTGTCTTTCTTCACCTAAATTATATTGATGCATAATTACATAGTGTTTTTCCCCTCATGCATTGGTATACTTTCATGTACACAAATATATACATACACTCAGACATACTGTATACACACGTACACACAGGTAATGTACATGTACACGCAAATGCATATAGATACATATATACATAGTTAAACATACTTTACTCTACATACATTAGTATTACTTCACACAATAAATTACATAGATAGGCATCTACATACGAACACACACATACACCGGTACATATTTTAAGCCTTTTGACTGCCATGTTCTTTCAGTAGACCGTTAATTATTATTTTATTATTATTATTTTTATCATTATTATTATTATTATTATTATTATTATTATTATTATTATTATTATTAGATACACATTCTATAAACACACACAAAAGAACATAAGAATGGAGGAAACTGCAGCGGGCCTATTGGCCCATACTGGGCAGTCCCATTTACACCCAACCCCTATTGTTCATATATCCATCCAACCTATGTTTGAAGCTATCCAGAGTATTCGAGTTAATGATGATATTTGGTAACTTGTTCCAGTCGTCCACTACTCTGTTACCAAACCAATGTTTACCTATTTCGCGCCTAAATGTAAATTTGTCTAATTTAAAACCATTGTTACGAGTTCGTTCTACTACTACTACTTTGCTGTCACCCGGAATCGAGTATGACGATCATCCAGCTATGCTACAATGATATGAGTTATTAAGGATGTCACCTTCATTGGTGAGCTCTGAGGTGACTAGCGGCCGATACAGGACGGGCAGGGTCGTCTACAGATGTTGCACATGTGGAGGGCTACACCTAGTGCGGGAGGAGCGGCGGCAGCGTCTTTCCGGCATTGGTACTTGTTTGCCTCGGTTTGCAGTCGGGCTAACTCGAAGGTATTGACACCTTCTCGTGTGGTGCTCCTCCAAGCGTCACGGTGTGGAGTAATCGTCTCCCAGGTGAGGGGGTCGATTTGGCACTTTTTCAGGTTCGTCTTAAGACTATCCTTATACCTTTTCAGTTGCCCGCCGGCGTTACCTTTACTAATCGCTAGGTGACTGTAAAGTAGCTGCTTTAGCAGTCTACTGTCGTCCATGCGGGTAACATGGCCAGTCCAACGTAGTTGTTTGTGGATAATGGTAGCCTCGATGCTCCTACAGTTGGTGTCAGCGAGAATACTGGCATTTGTTCTCTTGTCTTCCCAGCAAACTCGGAGGATGGAACGTAGACTACGTTGAGGTACCTCCTATATGTGACCCATGTCTCTCTGCCATACAGCAGGGTGGGGATGACCACTGATCGATATACGTGCAACTTAGTAGATAATTTCAGCTTCCTACAGCTGAAGACACTGGTACCGAGTCTGCCCCCCCCCCACACACACACATCAACCCCTCCCGAGATTAAACGATTAGCCAATAGAATTTCACCTGACATTACATTAAGTGTACCGGAGCACCTCTACTTGGGTGGTAATAGCACCTGGTGTGTAGTCACAGGTGTATGGTAAGAATAAATGTAATTAAGGTGATAAATATAATTAGACAGGCAGTAAGCAGGTGCACTTAACTAACGCTCAAGTGTTGTGTTTGAGGCTTACGACCTACGTGTGGGATGTGATACTCATAT